TATTTAACTTTTTTTTTCTTCATAATTTTAAAAAATAATAAATAATAAATTATCGGTGGGTCCTACCAACTCTTCTTTCTGCTATAAATATTGCGTGACCTATAGTTTCGTCGAGCACTTGGCGTAGCCTCGGCTTTTCCGTTCAGATAAAGTGGTGGTTCTTCGGTTTTCTCTATTAGAAGAAAAGGATAAAATGGAAAAGGAAGTAATAGAGAGATCTCTTAATGGCATCAGCGTCGATGATTACGGTACAGAGCTTCTACCGCCGAACGGCGAGTCGGCGGCTTCGTCTTGGCGTCTCAACACGCACAAGTTTCGCTTTCCCGAACGGACAATCTCCGATGGCCGTGGACGATCCGGCACTCGATTCTCTGGCCTTCTTTTCACTCCGAGTACGTTTCTTTACTCACCAGTACCACGCGTTTTCCTTCCCATCTATTATTTCTTCTTTTTATTTCTGTTTCTTTTCGTTGGTAAAACTTTCTATTTTTCTGGTCGGTCTATCTTTCTCATGTTCAGATCTGCAGTTTCATTCTCTCTTTCTTGCTTTTTTTTTGTTCTTTTTTCGGTTTCTACGATAAGGAACGCCTGCTTTGGCTATGACGATAAGATTCCTTTGAGTGGAATCCTAATCGATTGTTTGAGGAAGGTTCAGATTTTTTTGTAGGAAAAGTTAGATATATTTTATTTTTGTTTCACATCTTTTGGAATCATATAGCTGAAACAAATTAATAAATTAATCAAATTGGTAAAGTGAGTAAATCATATTAAGAAAACATTACGTACAAGTTGGAGAAGGTAAAGGTACATACGGCTCGCGTGAAGACTGTGTTAAAGGAAAGCCCGGATAATTGTTATTATTATTATTATTATTATTATTATTATTATTTTGTTAGTGTAACTTTCAGAAACATCAGTTTAGAAGACTTGACTAACTCTGCTTTACCTTAGTATCAGATGATTTTTTCATTTAATCAAAGAGGGAAAAAAAGTCATTTATATATAGCATGTTAAATTTTCGTGTGGAATTAATGTCGCGAAAAATTAAAAAGTCAAACTAGCTCGAGTAAAGTTGAATGGAGGGAGCATACTGTTTGTAATCCATCAGCAAGGATGTTGTCTTTCATCTACTAAATCACATGTACAGCTTTATAAAGAATAATAAGGCAATCTGTTTTTTAGTTTGCAGCTCTGTCAAAAGGCAATTCAGTTATTTTTATATTTATCTTGGATGTTAGTCTGGGAGTACATCGTCGACATTTGTATAACTCCCTGCGAAGATCTTTATTTTATTGATATTATTTGGTCACCTGCTAGATGCATCTCTGTCTCCTTACAAGATATGTCTTTTGTTTCTCACCGTGCAAGTTATGTCCATATTTGGTAAGCTGGCACATTAAGTTATGGACTCTGTCTGGTAAAAAAGCCTCTAGTACATTTTAATTTCATTGTTTCATTTATTATTATTATTATTTTTCGTTCTTGATTCAGGGAAACAACGCAGGGTTTCAGAATACTACAAAAAGCAAGAAAGGCTTCTTGAAGGGTTCAATGAAATGGAGACAATTACTGAAACGGGTTCTTTTCCTGGAAGTCTGTCTGAGGTTGTTTTTACATATTGTTATTTAATCATTTCTGTTTTACCTTTATTAAATTTGAGTGTGAGAACGGAGTCTTCACACATCAATGAATAGTCTATGGAAGCAGATCAATTTGCTTTTCTATCTTTCCTTTCAAATAAAATTTTGAAGCTTTCATTTGTTTTCAGCCCCAACAACATCTCAAAATTGACCAATTGATTCCAAAAGTTACATTCAATCTCAAAAGTTATATTCAGTGAAAGGAATTGTTTATACTTGTTCATCTTATTCCCTTTAGGATTCTTCATTTAACGATGTTCTTCTCCTACACATGACATCTTGTCTATGGAAAAATGAAATTTAATCTAAAATTACTTTTCCTTCCTCCTTAGGATGAGATGAAGAAGCTAGCAAGGAGTGAGAAGTTTGCCATTCATGCATCAAACATAGCTAACACTGTGCTCTTTGTGGCAAAGATCTATGCTTCAGTTGAGAGTAAATCAATGGCCGTTATTGCTTCAACCCTGGATTCGCTCTTGGATCTACTGTCAGGATTTATTTTGTGGTTCACTGCACATGCCATGAAGAAACCAAATCATTATCGGTATCCAATTGGGAAGAATCGCATGCAACCAGTGGTAAGTTATTTGCTGCTTTAACATCATACTCACATCCTTAGTGGACATCCCTCTCTCTGTTTCTTATTTTGTTGCCTTTGTAGGGTCTTTGATATGTCAGTTTGTAACAATTTAGGATCTCCAAGTTACCAACAATCTCCATTTATATTGCTGCTTTTTGAAGCATGTTCATCAGCACTTTGTAGACAGAACGAATGGTGATCTTTAAGTAGCATTGTAGCAATACAAGTCCATTGAGATGTGCTTCGAAGGAGATCTTGGACTGGTCATAAATTGACCTTTTAAAAGAAATACTGGTCATTAATCAAGACCCAGGTTTGACTGAACAGTTATTATCTCTCCTTCCCCAACCCCCTGACCCTGAAGGGAATCACTTTCCAGTAGATAGGCGAGATGTGACCAATTGGTGGTCTTTTGTAGGTCAGTGAACTATGATTTAGGTGCAAACATCTTCTCGCAGTCGTGGACCCTACATCACTTGAGACCACATTCTGTCTACAAAATGCATTATAGCAATATACACATTTAAGTGGGGAGGGTCGTTTCATATCAAATCACTAACTGAATTGGGACAATGTATTAAATATTCATGATATTTGGCCCCAAAGTGTTGACTCCATATGTCATCAGGCAGAGCTAGGATCAACCTTTTTAATTGATTTCCATTATACTTGATGAAAAATCACCTTTTTTTTGTATTAAAAGAAATTTGATTCTCACTTTACTGTAAAAATGTACCCTTTATTTACTTTTTATATCAAAACTTGAATATGTTCTACTACTAACCAAGCTTGAAAATGTAGGGTATCATTGTTTTTGCATCTGTGATGGCAACTCTTGGATTGCAAATCATTCTTGAGTCTGTCAGGCAATTCTTTACAAAGGTATGCTGCCTTGATCTTCCTCGGTCCAAAATGTCAAGGATTGTGTAGGCTGATAGGCTCTTGTGAGATTTTTAGCTTAAAGTCGTGGGACACAGTGAAGTATTTATAACTTATTTATTGGCAGAAGCCAGGTTGTTTTTCAATCTGTACCATTGACTATTGTGTTGTAGATTAGTTTCTACAATTATTTTAAATATAGAAACAATTCTAATTAATTCTTCTTAATTTTGGCTATAGTCTGGCCCTAA